AAGGAGGGACTGCGAGAAAGTTGTTCCATTTGTTGGTTCACTGTCAAAGTGGCTGCAATGGCCGGAGCTCAGCTGATCTGAAGCCAAGAACCAGGAGCTTCTTCCTGGTCTCACATGTGGGCAGAGTCCCAAGGCTTTGGGCCTTCTTCGACTGCTTTCCCAGGCCGCAAGCAGGGAGCTGGATGGGAAGTGGAGCAGCCTGGACATGAACTGACACCCATATGGGGATCCTGGCACTTGCAAAGTGAGGATTTAGCCACTGACCCATAATGTTGAGCCCTCTATCCCTGTCTTAAAAGGAAAGTAACTCAGAAATGATCACTACAGTTTCCCTTCCTTCCTTCCTTCCTTCCTTCCTTCCTTCCTTCCTTCCTTCCTTCTTTCTTTCCTTCCTTCCTTCCTTCTTTCCTTCCATTCTTTTTTCTTTCTTTCTTCCTTCCTTCCTTCCTTCTTTTCTTTCTTTCTTTTTCTTTCTTTCTTTCTTTCTTTCTTTCTTTCTTTCTTTCTTTCTTTCTTTCTTTCTTTCTTTCTTTCTTTCTTTCTTTCTTTCTTTCTTTCTTTCTTTCCTTCCTTCCTTCCTTCCTTCCTTCCTTCCTTCCTTCCTTCCTTCCTTCTTTTCTGGATTAATTTATTTCTGTGTGAAAGTCAGAGTTGTGGAGAGAAGAGAAACAGCTATCGTCCATCTGCTGGTTCATACCCCAAATATATGCAATGGCTGGAAAAAGACCAGTCTCAAGCCAGGGACCAGAAGCTTCTTTCAGGTTCCCTGCATTGATGTAGGGAACCAAGAACCTGGGCCATGTTCCACTGCTTCTCAGGTATACCAGCAGAGAGCTGGATTGGAAACGGAGCAGCTGGAACTCAAACCTGCATCTACATGAGATTCCAGAGCCGCAGGAAGGATCCAACCTACTATACCCCAAACTCCTGGCAAGGGGTAGCATTAGGTCCAATAATCAAGAAGCTGTTTGAAATGACCTTATCTAATTTCAGAGAACTGATAAGAGTACTAGCTATAGTGCTTTAGATCCAGCTTCCAGCTATAGTACCCTGGGAGGTGAGGGTGATGTCTTAAGTACCTGCATCCATATCACCTTTGGGATAGACCCAGAGTGAGTTCTGGGCCCCTGGCTTAGGACTGGTGTAGCTCTTGCTGCTGTAGACATTTGAAGAGTGAACCAGAAAATACAGAATCTAATTAACCAAAATGAAAATAGATAAAACTTAGGAAAAAAATACCCGAATCCCATAATAGATATGTGCTTTTGAACTTAAATAAGTACAGGATTAAAAAAAATATTATGTTAGCAAATTTATTGTCATGTAAAAATACTCTTATAGGGATATACTTCAGCTGTTTCAATTTATCATATAAAATATTAACAAGTATTACCATCACAAGCATCTTTCAGAAGTCTGCAAATTTTTAAGAGTTGTGCAAATTCAAGTTTTGATTGAGAGGCATGGGAATGGCATTCAATAGGGTGATTTCATAGAAGGAATCCAAGTGTGGGCCTGGCTAAAGTCCTTGTCCGACTTGTGTCAGGATCCTATGTGGGCACTGGTTCTAATCTTGGCAGTCTCGCTTTGCATCCAGCTCCCTGCTTGTGGCCTGGGAAAGCAGTCGAGGATGGCCCAAAGCCTTGGGACTCTGTACCGCGTATGAGACCAGGAAGAGCTCCTGGTTCCTGGCTTCAGATTGGTTGAGCTCCAGCCATTGTGGTCACTTGGGGAATGAATCACTGGACGGAAGATCTTCCTCTCTGTCTCTCCTCCTCTCTGTTTATCTGCCTTTCCAATAAAAATAAGATAAATCTTAAAAAAAACTACATCAGCTGATCCTTACTTCTGCTATTGAAAGCCTCACAGGGTAAAATAGCTTTCTGCAATTACAACTATAAAAGGAAGTCTCCATTAGATGGCAAAAGTGTGATTTAAAAGTCTATAAAATAAATACTCATTTTCTTGCATCCTAAAGCACCAAGAAAGTAGCACAAGAGAAACTGAAGGGAAGGGCTGGGCTCTATCTAAAACTACCCTTCCAAACCTCCAAGTCCCCAGCTTCCGTTCCCTCTTATCAGGCCCTCCCAGAGGGTTACCTCTACCAGTCACTTTCTTCACCAGCTTATGCAAGGAGAGGACTTCAGCCACTAGGTTACCGCTGGGGCCCCATAATTATACCTTTTAAAATTGGAGACTTTCAGCCTTACATTTAGCTTATTAAAGCCGATAGTTTATGTCCCCAAGTGGCTGCAATGGCCAGAGTTGAGCTCAGTTGACCCAATCCAAACCCAGAAGCTTCTTCTGGGTCTCCCACGTGGGAGCAGGAGCCCATGGCTTTGGGCCATCCTCTGCTGCCCTCCTGTGCCACAAGCAGGGAGCCGGAAGAGAAGTGGAACAGTTGGGACATGAACTGGTGCCCATATGGAATCCTGGCATATGTAAGACAAGGACATTAGCTGCTTGGCTACCGTGCTGGATTTAACTTGATATAGTTTAAAGTTATCTACCTTCCCAGCAGCTTTGGGATAGAGATTAAGTCTGGGTCTCCTTTATTTAATGCGTCTTTTCAACATTCTCTAGAGGGGTTTATGTTAATTGTGATGAGTGCTTAAGGAGAAGGTAAGTGTCAGTGAAAGTTCTTTCTTTTTTCTCCTTTTAAAACAGGTTGCAAAACAAGCAAACCAGTAAACAAATGGACAGGAGAAATTAATGGGCAGCTTTTCAAAAGCACAAATCCAAGTTTCTAACAGACATATTAAAAAATGCTTAGGTTGGGCCCGGCGCGGTGGCGCAATTGGTTAAGGTTCTCCCCTTGCACGCCCAGGATTCCATATGGGCGCTGGTTCTATCCCGGCAGCCCCGCTTCCCTTCCAGCTCCCTGCCTGTGGCCCAGGAAAGCAGTCGAGGACGGCCCAAAGCTTTGGGACCCTGCACCCGCGTGGGAGACCCGGAAGAGGCTCCTGGCTTCGGATCGGCATAGCACCGGCCGTTGCGCTCACTTGGGGAGTGAATCATCGGATGGAGGATCTTCCTCTCTGTATCTCCTCTCTGTATGTCCGCCTTTGCAATAAAAAAATAATAAAAATAAATCTTACAAAAAAATCTTAGGTTGCCTAGCAATAAGGGGAATACAAATAAAAACCACCTTAATGTTCCACTTAACTGCAGATAGAATGGCCTGTATACAAAAGTCTTCTAATAACACCTGCTGGCGAGGAGATAGGGTAAAATATGTCCTGTTTCACTGGCGGTTAGATTGTAGACTTGAGCCGCCATTCTGAAAGTCAGTATGGAGAGTGCTCAGACAACTGGAAATTTATCTACTGTATCTCCTATATGAGCCAGCAATTCCACTCCTGGGAATGTATCTAAAAGAAGTAAAACCTACATTAGAGAAAGCAACCTGCATTCGTATATCCATAGTTGCACTATCCACAATAGCAAAGACATGGAAGCAACCTAGATGCTCATAGAAAGAAGGATGGAGAGGAAAACTGTGGTTTACCTACTCTTTGGGTGCTACTTAGTCATTAAAAAGAATGCAATTCTACTATTTGCAAAAAGTGGTCTCAACTGGAGACCACTTTGCTCAGTATTCTTTCTGATATAACACAATTGCATGCAAAATACAAAACAAAAACCTATATAAGATGCACTTATATTCTCATAAATGAATGTTGTAATGGAAATGAGAACTGGGAAACAAAGAATGCAGTGTATAACTCTACTCCTGAGTAAAAGAACGACCCCCATGAAACTGTTATATGTATATATATATATATATATATATAGAGAGAGAGAGAGAGAGAGAGAGAGAGAGCAATAACTAGAGGCTGTACCATCACCCTAAGCCTCTAATGTCATGACACACACACAGTAGAATGTTGGAGTCGTGTCTCACCTGGACTATGTTATTGTAAAATACAGGGACAATGGGGAGGGGAGAAGAGGAAGGCAGAAAAGGGGAGAGAAAGGGAGAAGTCCTATGCCTACAAAGAATAAAAAAAAAAAAAACACGTAGAAAGAGCAGCTTACAGAGTTTGCCAGCACTGATTGGCAGGCAGTGCCGACCTGCTGAGGGGGTGTGCTGTGAGCTGCTGCCCTATTTGCCCTGAAGTGCCGCGCTTCATGTCTTCAGACAGGCTGTGTTGTCCTAGCCCTGCCGGAACAACCTTGTGTCGTACAAAGATTAAAGTCTGAAAAAGAAGCAAACATAAGACTTCTACATTTCAGGATATATTTTGGAAAATAAGGGGATTTCTTCCATTACATCATTCATAAGTCTGATCATTTAATACCTGTTGCAGTTAACTGAAATATTTTGCTACCTACTGTTTTTTATGCATTGGATTGCCAGATAAATTCCTGGACAAGCTGAATTTCAGCTTCAGTTAAATGATAAATTATACTTAGCATAAAAATGGTTAGAAGAAGTATAATTACATTTAATATGAATATTTTTAGTGTAAGTATTGTAGTATTAGCATGTATTATATTTAGTACGTATTTTTTAGGATGGTTAGTATAATATACGTATTTTAGTGTAAGGATGCAATGTGAGTATTGCAGAAAGCAACCTTCATACCACAGAATGAAATTCCAACTTAACTGGGTATCCTATAGCTTAATTTGTTAAATTTGGCAACTCCAGCTAGATACAAGCGGTTCTTTCGAATGTGTCCAATTCTGCAGATCAGGTGTATATTTTCGATTAGTTTTGCCGGTCAAAGTCTAAAAATGTAATTTTCTTGGTATAACGATTACTAGCAGGCAAAAAGTATTTCCGAAAACAGAATCCTCAATTCTCTGAAAGGGAGCTCTGAAACTAGTACTCCTGGCTTGCAGATCAGGTTTGGCCGCTTAGCTTGGGAAATCTTCCCTCTGGTTGTTGGGTAAACTGGCTCCACCCAGCTGCTGAAATGTGATAGGAGTTGTAGCAGAGCCGGAAGTTGGCTGGGACTGCCTTTGCTTCTCAAGGTAAGTGGCCCGTGTTTTCTTTCTGTCAAACCTTTGCAAATCATAGAAAAACTGCAACCCGCTGGGCGAGGGCAGCGGGGGGCTGGCTCCTGTGCTCGCTGGGGCCGAGCCGCTCGGTGCGTGCAAGCCTCACCAGCCGTGCTCTGGAGTTTGAACTGAGCTAATCAGTGCTCGCCAACGAGGTACGTTAATAATAAGCCTCGTGACTTTGACTAAGGCGCTTTCATCCCAAGCAAAGGGTGGTTATAAATGGAGTGGTAGCTGGGATCCTGAAAAGTGCAGTCCATTTGGGTATTTTTTTTTTTTTTAATTCAAACAGTGGGGACTTTTATATTTAGACCAAGTGACATGATTACCTGTATGTGGATTTCTTAGAGCCTGGCTTGTTTTCAAAGCAACTTTTAAACCTAGGGATTTGGGTTCTTTCCGATTCCTTCCCCTCGACCTCAGCCTTGGAGTACCATCAGATTTTCAGGAAGGCTCTGTGGGGTAACAAGATGTTACCTTTGTCCTGCATTTTTATTCCTTTATATGTGAATATACGTATGTGATGTCTTGTTTACACTACCTTAAGGGCAAAGGGGACTTTTCAGTTTGTGAAGTCAGCTTTTTAAAATGGATTTCCCACCGCCCCCCCTTGGAATATTAAAAAAAAATTAAAAGCAAGATTGGACTGTTGTGATTGGAGCATATGGATGTGGAGGGTTTAAATGTTGTCTATTAGTTTCTTGAAAGCAGAGGTAAACTTCAGTGAGTGAATTCTACCCAGTGACTTAATAAATCCATGAGTTGTTCTTTGGGTCACCCGTATCTTCTGTGTCATGCCTGTGCCTTTACTTAGTGTCAGATTTTCCTGATAGTCAGTTAAAAATCACAGTGCAGGCATATTTTTTTTTAAGATTTACTATTTTTATTACAAAGTCAGATAGATATAGAGGAGGAGAAATAGAGAGGAAGGTTTTCCATCCGATGATCAACGGTCAGTACTGCGCCAATCTGAAGCCAGGAGCCTGGAACTTCTTCCAGGTCTCCCATGCGGGTGCAGAGTCCAAAGGCATTGGGCCATCCTGGACTGCTTTCCCAGGCCACCAGCATGGAGCTGGATGGGAAGTGGGGCTGCTGGAATTAGAACCGGTGCCCATTTGGGATCCTGGCGCGTTCAAGGCAAGGACTTTAGCCGCTAGGCCATCGCGCCGGGTCCCGGTATATGGTTTTCAAGTGTATTTGCTGATTGTAAGAGGTTTAATGAGTAGGATCCCTTTGCTGTGATCCAGGAAGTGTGCGGAAACACAGGTCACCCATGTGGCAGAGAAATGTGATTAAGCTTTTCATTTGCAAAGCTCAACATCGGAAGCTGCAAGAGAAGAGAATAATCAGAACGGGTTGGCAGAATTGGGTAGGATTCCAAGGAAAGGAAAAGAATAGGCAAGCTGGTTTAATATGCCACCCTTTTAACATGTTCTTTGTGTTATGTGTTTAATAGGTGCTGTTTTATTTAATCCTTACCAAAGCCTCTGCTGTTGGTAGCATTGGTGAAACAAGTGAGAAAGTTAGAATTTTGTGAGATTAAATAATTCACACAGGGTTAGTAAAGTGGTGCTGTTAGATTTCATTCAGTAATCCGGGTCTATCAGGTTGTCAAGTTCTTTCCATTTGACTTTATTGTGACACAGTAATTAACAACATTTGAAAATGCGCCTTTGAAAGAAAGTGGAGGTTTGTTTTTAAAGATTGATTTATCCCTTCTAAAGGCCAAGTGAGAGAAAGGAAGTTCCATCCATTGGATCAAACCTCAAATGGTCGCAGTGGTCAGAGGTGGGCCAGTCGAGGCCAGGAGCTTGGAGCTTCTTCCGGGTGCAGAGTCCCAAAGCTTTGGGCCATCTTCGACTGCTTTCCCAGGCTACAAGCAGGGAGCTGGATGGGAAGTGGAGCTACCGGGATTAGAACCGGCGACCCATATGGGTTCCCGGGGCGTTCAAGGCGAGGACTTTAGCTGCTAGGCCACCCCACCGGGTCCATCCCTTTTTTTTTTTTAACTGACACACATATTCCATGGCTTGGGTATGGCATAGCTTATTTTTAAAATTTTAATTCTTTTAAGAGGCAGAGAGACAGGGAAAGAGAGAGAGAAAAGTGAGAGAGAAAGGTTGAGTGAGAGAAGGAGTGCAAACTTGTTGCCATTTTTGGCTCATTCTCCCAAATATCCCCAAGTGTCTAGGATTGGGCCAGGCCCAGCGTGGGAACTCAGGTTAGGTTTCCCACCTGGGTAGCCGGTGCACAACTGCTTGAGCCATTACTTGAGCCTCCCAGGGTCTACATTAGTGGGGAACTAGATTTGGGCGGATGGAACATGGTCTGAAACCCTGAGCGTGGCTATGGAATGCAGCTGTCCCAAATGACAGCTTACCCACTAGGCCACACATAGGTCCCTCATAGTTCATTTTTGTTAAACAGCTAAGTTATCTTGAATTTTTTGCTTAGAAGTAACTTTTGCATAATTGTGTGCGTTATTCTGTGTGACTACTTTCTAGAAGTGAAACTCCTAGGTCAGATGTTAAATTTATTTTTAGTTCAGTAGGATAGCCGCCAAATATCTTCCAAACTTGTTTTGATATTTTTCTCTTCATTTTAAATGAAGGTTGCTCAAAAAAAAAAATAAAGAAACTTCATTTCTCTATAAATTTGCTTTTTGCTTTTGTAGGATTTTACCGGTTTTATGCATTTCATATGACATGTTAGATAATGTACATTTTATTATTTTTAAAAACGATTTATTTCATTTATTTCTAAGAAAGAGTAATACAGACAGGAGGAGAGACAGAGAAGCAGAGAGCGGGCTTCCACCTGTTGGTTTACTCTCCCAATGTCTGAAACGACAGAGCTGGGCACGGAGCCTGGATCCTGGATCCTGGGTCCTGGATCTTGAAGCTGGGAGCATGGAGCCTGGAACCTGGAGCCCAGAAGTTACTTACTTGTGTCTCCCATGTGGCATTTGGGTCATCTTCTGCTTTCCCAGGTGTGTTAACAGGGAACTGCACAGGAAGTGCAGCAGGCAGGTCTTACACTGGTATCTGAAAGGGCTTCAGGCATCTCAGGCAGAGGCTTAATGTGCTGTTCCAAAATACTGGCCCCAATAATGTATATTTTATTTTTTTTTTAAATATTTATTTTGTTTTTATTGGAAATGCAGATAAACAGAGAGGAGACAGAGAAAGGAAGATCTTCTGTCCGTTGATTTACTCCCTAAGTGGCCTCAATGGTCGAAGCTGAGTCAATCTGAAGCTAGGAGCCAGGAGCTTCTTCCTGGTCTCCCATGCGAGTTCAGGGTCCCGAGGCTTTGGGCCGTCCTCGACTGCTTTCCCAGGCCACAAGCAGGGAGCTGGATGGGAAGTGGAGCTTCTGGGATTAGAACCAGCGCCCATATGGGATCCCAGGGCGTTCAAGGTGAGGGCTTTAGCCGCTAGGCCACACCGCTGGGCCCCACAATGACTATTTCTTACAGTTGACTTTAGATCTAGTGAGTCTCAGGGTTTTTGCCTGCCAGCAGGCCTCAAGGTCACCGAGGGTGAGGCAGACAGTGGCCTTAGGCCTCAAGAACCACTGGGGACAAGCTGCTGAGGAATGTCCATTTTATTATGCACAGATTACAGATTTTTTTTATTGAATTTCATTTTATAACATCATTTCCTAGGCTCTGATGTTCCCCCATCCCCTCCCTGTGCCCTCTCCACATGGTAGATTGCTCCACCTTGTTGCATTACCACAGTTCAAATCCAGTCTTGTTTCTTTCAATGCAAGCATGTACCATGCATAGAGTCCACCAAAGACACTGTAATTGGCTGTATGAAACGTCCATTTCCCTAGATCTTGCAGTCATGTCAGAAGTCATGTTCCAGGTGTATTCCTCTTGACCTTGTAGCCATGTTGGAGGTCGCACTCCAAGGCTGAGTCTCAGGCCGTGGGGAAAGTTAGGCTTAAGCCATGCCCTCCAGGCATCAGGGCAGGGGCCTGGGGCGGTTGCCCACGAGTGAGACCATCTCAATTCTCCTAAAAACTCCATTCTCATTTTTCTTTCTTAGCCTGGTTCTCATCCAATCATTTCATTCTGATTTTTTTTTTTTTTATCACATCACTGTGAAGGTCTGACTGACTCTGCGGATGGCTTAGTGGTTAAAGTCTCAGAAAACTAGCCCAGGGACCATGCTTTTCACTGCTCGGGCTTGCTGTGACATGGACAAGTGTCTTCATGTGTGCTTTATCGTACATGCTGGGATCCATGATCCCTCCACCATCCCCTGGGCATTGTGCTGCAAGCACCCTAAGTCCTTCACAGGTTGTCTGGCATGGTGAAGCCCTTCATAATTGTCAGCTCTTCCGTGATTTTCTCCCCTACCTCTAAACTACTATAATGACATGCATTTTTTTCTTACTCTGTTTCTGTGTAAGACAGCTTTTTAAAATCATCTCTGTGAGCTTCAATTTCTGTACCAGTAAAAACTTTGGTATTTTTTTTTTTTTTAGGGATTGTAGATTTTACATGGAAAGCACTAACTGTGATGATGATAGTAGGCCTTTAAACAACAGTAACATCATTAGTTCATAAATTAATGATATTTGTTTTTATTTTACCTAATTGTTTTGGGTGTTTAGAAAAGACCCATTCTACTAACCCCCTATTTTGTTTTCAGCACAATATTACTTTGAGAGCCATATGGAATGATCCATATGAGACTTCTGTCATATGTAATAAGCCAGTTGCTGCCAACCATTTTCTTTGAAAATGAATAAAGAAAATGGAAAAATTACCTCCTGATGACGCGCTGACTGCAGAACCAGGATGACAGTGTACTGTTGCAAATTACTCTTTCTATCAGTGATTTTCCTCACTTTTCCATTTACTTTGTACTACTTTCACTGAGACTCCAAAATCTTTTTCAGAAGTTCATCTTGAGTTAAATTGGACAAGCTTAGCTTGGTATTCATTGTGCTATTTTTGTGCTTTTTTTTTTAGGACCCTTATCATAAATGTTTAACTTAAATTATTAATGTAAGAATAATTTTTCTAGTTGCTTGCTACTGTGAAAATGGAGTCTGAAATGTTTTTATTTGGACAAGTTGAAATACTTGACATATGCTTTGATTTCCCTATAATTGAGCTTCAGCTATCAAAATCAATTTAATTCTTAATGTGGAAGTTTTCTAGGAAAGTAAAGTTAAATTACTCTAAAGAAGGGCAAGACATTTTGTGAAATATGGTAGAAGGGTTGAACATACTAGCTACAGATGGTAGAAATATGGGAAAATCTCAGTTGACTAACATTATTCAGCAAATTAGTTTGAAAAATTAATATCAATACCAAACAATTATTTATTGACAACTTTTTAATTTTAGGTATCAAACTAATTGCTTACATCCATTCTTTCTGGAGCCTGAGTTCTGCGAAATAAATCTCTGTATTGTTACTCAGACTTTCAGAAAGTGCTGCAGCTGATGAGGCAGTCTCCTGAATCCCATTATGAGTGGTGGTTCCTGTCTCTGGCCACGGCTCCCTCCCACTGGAGCCATCTGGGAGTGAATCAGTGCATGGAAAGGCCCTGTGTTCCCCTTGCTGTATGTCACTCTGCCTTTCCAAGAAATAAAATAAATCATCAAAAGTGACCTGAAGTGCTGAGATTCTGAACACTCTGTCCCTAAACTAGTTTCTAAATCAGTTTGGAATTCAAGTTACATTTGTTAGTATTTACTCATTTTTATTGGAAAGGAAGATGTACAGAGAGAAGGAGGGACAGAGAGAAAGATCTTTTCCATCCATCTACTGGTTCACTCTCCAAGTAGCCACAACAGTTGGAGCTGAGCTGATCTGAAGCCAGGAACCAGGCTCTTCTTCCAGGTCTCCCACATGGGTGTAAGATCTCAAGGCTTTAGGCTATCTTCTACTGCTTTCCCATGCCACAAACATGGAGCCGGAAGGGAAGTAGAGCAGTTGGAACATGAACAGGTGCCCATTTGGGATCCTGGCAAATGCAAAGTGAGGACTTAAGATATTAGGCTATAGAGCCACGTCCTCAGTTCTATTTTCTAATAAGAATAGTATAATGAATGGTGGTTTTATGTCTGGGCAAAAAGCCTAGATGTGAAATTATATTTAACTTAGAAGTTCATTGCAATACTTTGTACTTATACCAAAATAAAAGAGAGTAATGTTTTAGTGCTCCCAATAATAGAATGAAATGAAAACTATTCTGTAAGATATAGCCATTTTTCTTGAGCATTTTCTGGAATGCAAGTAGTAGAAATTCTGAACAGAGCTTTAAAGAGTGTTGTGTTTTATGTTAACTGAAAAAGTTCTTCCTCATATAGAAGATCACTATAAGAATGCTGATTATTTGCCATATTTATAGTTTTTGTTTAGCCTCATACATGGAATGAAGAAAGAATAAGGCATTTTCTATTTTATAATCCATTTCCTGTCTCCAAAAATCCTCCCTCTTGCATAGCTTGTTTGTTCCTTTTTTAAAAAGAATTATTTTCATTTTTGATTTGAAAGTAGGATGACAGAGAGAAGCAAGAAAGCTAGCAGTGCAATTCAGTCTAAGTTCAAAGACTTGGGGCTTGGATGAGGAAAGTAATGCTGGTATGAGTTTTGGGGTGTTGAAGCCAGAGAACCAGAGCTTGGACGGCTAAAGCTAGAAGAATGAATGAATGAGCGGCTCAAGGACAGTGGCTTCCCCACTCCCTCTGTCTTTTTGTTCTGTTGACTATGTGAGATCTAGTCACATTGGTGAGAGGATCTTCTTCACTTATTCTGTTGATGCAGATGCACAACTCATCCTGAAACAGCGTGACTCAGAAAGAATGCTTTCTCAGCTCTCACAGCATCCCTGAGCCCAGTCATGTTGACACATATATTAGCCATCACATGTGCCCATGTTTGATTTTTGATATTTAATTTATCTGCTATAGATGTTTGAGTTTCCTGGATCTGAGTTTTGGTGTCTGATAATAATTTGGTAAAATTCTCAAGCATTATGTTTTCAATGATGTTTTCTCTTTCTCAAATTGCTACTACACGAATGTTATACCTTTTGTAGCTGTCCTATAGTTCTTGAATACCCTGTTTTGGTGTTCTCTTAGTTTTTCAGTTAGACTATTTCTACTGAGATATTTTTGAGCTCAGAGATTTTTTAGTATAGACTGGGAACACCCAGTCTATCAATAAGCCTTTTAAAGACATTATTTAAATTTCTTTTGCAAGGTTTTTGGTTACTAACATTTCTTTTTTGGATCTTTGTTGGAATGTTCACATTACCTATCTGTGCATGCTGAGTACCTTTTTACTAGCGCCTTTAGCATATTCATCACAGGTGTTTTATATTCCTAGTGTGATAATTCTAACATCTTTGCCATGTCTGGGTCTGATGCAGGCTTTGATCCTTCATTTTATTTTTTATGGGCTTATTTATTACTTTATTTGAAAGAGTTACAGAGAGAGGGACACACACACACACACACACCTTCTGTCTGCTGGTTGGCTCACTCTCTTTTTTTTTTTTATTGTTATTAACATTGTATTATGTGATACAGTTTTATAGGCACTGGGGATTCCCCCACCCCTCCCATACCCCTCCCCCCATGGTGGATTCCTCCACCTTGCTGCATAACCACAGTTTAAGTTCAGTTGAGATTCCTTCCTTGCAAGCATATACCCAGCATAAAGTCCAGCGTCTTATTGTCCAGATAAGTTCAGTGGCCTCTTGGGGAGACCTTCTATGGTCTGAAGGTAGAGCTAACAGAGTAAAGATCCGGTCAGTTAAAAGCCCCAACAAAACCTCAGTATCAATATACAACATTATGGAATTAATTGACATAGTATTGAGTAAACAATATGTTAAAAATAATGCAAGTTCCATTCTTCGAAACATCTGGGTTGAGACAGTATCAATGACAGGTTCAAAAAATAACAAACAGTTGGTTCACTCTCTAAATGGTCAATATGGCCGTGGCTGGGACAGGGTGAGGCCAGGAGCCAGGAGTTTCTTCTGAGTCTCCCATATGGGTGGACAGGGTCCAAGCACTTGGTGCTGTTTCCTTATGTTTCCCAGGGTGCGTTAGCAGAGAGCAGGATCAGAAGTGGAACAGCTGGCGCCGTCACGGGATGCTGAGGTTGTAGGTGGCGCCTTTACCCTCTATGCCACAGTGTCTTCCCACTTTGTCCCTTTAGACTGTATTCTATTAAAAAACAAACAAAGAAAAACAAAAAACCCCAAAAAACCCTGTATTCTATTTTTGCTGTTTAGGATGCTTTGTAATTTGTTTTTCCCGGATAGTTATACATTATGTACTGAGTAAAAGAAACTGCTGTAATATGGGGGTAAGGTGTCAAGGGGAGGGAAGCATGCTGGAGCTGTAGGAGCAGGTTTTGATAGTCTCTTAGGGCGTCTGTGGGAATATTTTAGCAGCTTCCTTGATTTTCCTCTACCCTGCTTTAACTGAGCTGCAGCTAGTCTTTTCCTTCCCCCAGTCCAGGTAAGCTCTGATAAAACCTTGGTAGACTAGGTTCTGACTCAGTCCTCATTTAAATAACTGCAAAATGATCATAGTTTCTCCATAGTTATAAAATGGTCATTTGTTCCAGCGATTCTAAGACTGCTTTTCCCTACGACCAGAAATAGAAAGCTCCATTTCTATGGTTGAGTGAACAGCTTCTTGAACTCTTCCCATCCACAACCTGTCCAAAGTGTGAACTTAATTTGCTGCCAGGTGACATGTCTCTGTCAACTACCTCCAGCCTTGTGTGATGCTGTGATTTGCAGGTCCTGAATATGTATGTGAATTGAGGTGGTTGATCTGGGATAGAAGAAGATGAGACTGATGTGAAGTAGTTGCAGGAAAACGGCTGGAGGAAGATTGCATGGGCTGCCAAATGTGTTTCTTAATCCAAAGGATCTGGGTTTCAAATAGTAGAAATATTGTTTTCTGCAATTGGTTGTTACCTTCAAATTTTCACTGTTGCTGGTTAGATTAAATACCCTGTGACCATAATCGGTCTTCTGGGAAGCAGGGAGAAGAATTGAAATCAGAGATATATTCAGTGATGATATTTTAAGACAGCAGAAATATTTTCTCAAACTAGGATGAGATGGAGTAAATCTTCTGTTTTTATTGGAATTATTATCTCTGAATTGCACTCATGAAAGCTATCATTTGTTATCTTCCTTGAGGCTTTGATTGTTTCTTAATTTTATGTGAATAACTTTGGAAGAAGAGTTGTTGTCTCTTTCTTTTTCACTTCAGGAAGTGGAGGCCTAAGTGATTTGCTGGGAGTCTCATAGTTGGTCATCAGCCACCAACTGAGACTCATACCCACATGAGACTTTACAAGCCACATTATTCTTTTCCTACACATTTTGAGAATGATTAGCTGAACAGTGACAAGCAGAAGTAGAACTGTCCTGTGTTATGAAAACTTTTATATTTTGTTCTGATAATTTCTGAAAATAATTTGTTTTTAATCTTTTTTTTTTTTTTTGCAGATGACAACTCTTGGATTTATATTTAGTGTCTTCACATTTTTCTTGCACGTGGTTTCTGTGTTTAATTATCCCAATGGAAAAGTAATGCAGTCATGTGGCGGGATGATTCCTGCACATGGACATAGTCCACAGTCTGGGGCCGCTCACGACATTTCAGTGAGTCAGATGACATTCAGGCCGGGAGATCAGATTGAAGGTACCATGCCTTGATGAACTATTTATATTTTGTTTTACTCTTTTATTGGTAATTGACTCTTCATTATTATTGGATGACTTCATTTAAGACTGTTGACCTGTTTTTATACTTTCCATCTTTGTTCAAATAATAGATAGGACCATGCATACCTATTCCTTACTCAGAAGTAAACTTTAAAATTAGCTTTATCATTGTATTTAAAAACTTGAAAATTTGCTTATTTTGTTTATTTGAAGGGCAGGGAGAGAGAGAGAGAGAGAAAGATGGACAGAGGAAGAGAGGAAAAGAGTGAGAGAGAGGGAGGCAGGGAGGTATAGTGAGTGACAGAGAGAGAGATAGAGAGTGGGAGAATGAATATCTCCCATCCTTTGGCTTATTGCCCAAATATCCACAATAGCTAGGACTGAGGCCAGGGCTGAGTAAGACTAAAGCTAGGAGCTAGGAACTCCATCCAGGTCTCCTATGTGGATGATAGGGATACAGGTGCTTGAACTTTCCCAGGTGGAACTTGAACCAGGCATCTGATATGGAATTTGGGCTTCATAAGTGATGCCTTAATCACTGGGCAAAATCTTCCACCAATTGATATGTATTTATTAATAATACTACTAATAAAAGAAGAGAAAAATAAAATTATTTAGAATACATTTTTGTGCTTCTCGATATTCTGTAAGCTTATGTCTCCCTGATTGTTTTGGGATAATGTAAGCTGACTTTAAAAGTGCATCTGTAATAGCACTTTGAAAACTGCTTTCTGCAACTCTAGAAATGCAGCATATTAGTAATTACTCTTGAGTAATAGAAAGGGTGTCTGGAAAAAATGATTTTACCTTTATCTGTATATTGTATATCTCTTACAATTTCATATTGCATAGTAAGATATAAAGGCCCTGAAGAATTTGTAGTAAAGAAATAAATGTTTGCTTCATCTAACGTTTTCCAGACTAAATATAGCTTTCTGGATCCTGCTTTGACCATCACTCCCTATAGAGTGAATTTCCAGGCGAACACAGTTTAATACCTTCTTTGTGCATCTGATGATTTTCCTCCCTGGAAGGAGTTTTGCATATGCATACCTGGTTCTACCTGGGATGCACCTCTTCCAAATGTTCCTTTTTCTGGGAATTTACTATATTTTTAATCTGTTCTCTGTCAGTTACTTTGTCAGGGCCACCCTTTAAAGGCTTTCTCTTGGAAGCTCGTGATGCTGAGAATTTGAGTGGACCTCCTGTTGGCTCTTTTTCATTGATTGACAACCATATATCACAACTTCTGACTTGTGAAAACATACAGGTTTGTGTTTAAATTGATTTGTTTCAGTTTTCTTGGATCTTCTCATTTTGGGTTGGTGATTGCAAGATGAATGTAGCATCTTTGTGTTGCAGACAGCTCAATAAATGAACATCTGAATAGATTAAGCTTTCCTTCTAGTTCTCCTACTTGCAACGTATGTTTCTGTACAAGTATCCTAGAAAAAACAGGAAAGTGGCTTGAAGTGTTCTTAGTGTGTGACATAATGACTCATTGTATTGATTTTTGAAGAGTTTTAATATTGAAGCTGGAGTTCTGGGGAGGTTAATGTTTGTGCATTCATTCATTTAATGAACACTTATAGTAGGGACTGTACTGGGTGTGAAGGATCTGGTGAAGAACAAGAATTCCTCGAGCTGCTTGCAGAATCCCTGGCTTTTTGTGGACTTGGGAGAAATAGCACAGAAGTAGAATGTGTGGAACTAGGGCAGACACTAAGTAGAAAGGTGTGATAACTGGTTTCAGCACACACAGGGTGGGTGGAAAGCATCGAAGAGAGAAATACCTTGGCTGGAGGGAGCTGAGAGCTTCTTTGGGGAGAGAATCTCCGAACTACGGTCAAAGAACTGTAGGCGTTTGCCAGGTGAATGAAAGTGGGAAACAAAATTGTTCAAAAGAAGTTAGTTAAATATCATGGTGTATATCTGAAGGCACAGTTTTTGTTTTTTCTTTGGACAAATTGTGTGTAGTTTATTTGTGTCTGTTAGTGGAAGGAGTATACATATTTTGTATAAATGGAATAATGAGCAGGTTCCCTGTACCCTGTACCTACATATTTTGTATAAATGGAATAATGAGCAGGTTCCCTGTACCTAATACACTCTGTATTTAGGACTCTTCATTTCTTAAATTTGTGATAACTTTAATTTTGTGATTAATTCAGTTGTTAATCTGTTGTCAAACAATCAGTATGTTCTTTCTGAGGGCCTGGGTCCTTGTTCCAAGGAAGAGTTTGCCGTTATGCCATTATCATGCAGTGAGAAGGTGATTTACAAGATGATGGCAGTTTCAGTCCTGTTGAGTTCCTGAGAGACTGAATGGTAATTCTTTTTCAATGTTATTTCAGGGATCAGCTGTGAGTCATACAAGCTCATCCAAAAAAACCAAAGTTCAAGTATATTGGAATGCGCCAAGCAGCGCCCCAAATCACGTACAGTTTCTGTGAGTAGAAGAGTTTCTAACTCTAACATAGTTAGCTGTATCATTTTCTATGCCTATTTGGTTTTCGCTTCTACCGGAGAAGTTTGTGAAACTAAGGATACCAGCATACCGGTGTAAGAAACTGTTTAACTCTTTTTCTTCTTTATTTTTCATTCTTCATTCACCAGAATATACACAACACAAAGCACAAGACTTAGTACCCTAGTGGGCACAAACAAAGAATAGTTGGGTGAATAAAGTTTTGTGCTACGTTCATGCTGGCGAGAAATAGCAGTTAATACTTGACTGTGTCTGAGGCATCAAGGAATTCTTTTTAAAGATTGCTCCTGCTTTAGTTTAAGAATATAAAAATAGTTCTGAAATTTAGATGACTTTTTTTGCAGTGTTCCAATTTGCAGATTGTTAGGAAAGCATGCCCCTGTATGCCTCTCAGAAATATGAAATTGAGAGGAATCATAATAGCAGTTCTTCCTTAATCTTATAAACAACAGGAACTGGAATGTCACCAAGCTATGTAGTGATTCCTCAGTTGTGTTATAGATCTATGAGGGAATCTTAAAAATTCATGCAAAATGTTACTAATGAAATACCCATCTGTTAAAATTATTTCCTACCAAGTGAATTTAACTTTCTGAAGTACCCTTGTCCCTTTTTCAAGAGAAAAACTGCTATCCTAAAATGTCACTCAATGTGTACACAGATCCCCAGCACCTCATAATACAGCTTTGCACCTGTGTGTCACGTGGAATGTGGGAAGGGGGCCATAACCTCAGCCAGAGTTGGTGCTTGCTTATGTAACCTCTATAGGTTGTTACTGTAACTGCATGCTACATAAGCCCTCTGGAAGAATTTGAAAAGTACATTGTGAAATGAGTACTAGTAGCTTCTTTATACATGAACGTGCAGAAATCTGTGCAGTTAGTTCCAGTTTAGCCACATGGCTGATGTGAGTAGGTCTACAGAGCAGATAAATAAGAAGAGACAGATAGAGAGGGCATTGAAATTTCATCCGGTGATGGGGCAGAAGAGAGTCATTAGAGATGACAAACAACATAAGTACGATGGTAAGTACTACTGTGTACTCCCCATATGTTTCCTCTTTGTGTCATTAAAGGTTTGATTTTGTTAGGATGGGCCATAATCTGGGTTGTTTCTATCTTTTGGTACTGTATTTCAGAGCCACAGTTGTTGAGAAGTATAAAATCTACTGGGTGAAGATACCTAGTCCTATAATTTCACAACCAAATGCACTTCCGTTTACGACACCTGAAGCTGCAATAGCATCTTTGCCAACAATATCTCCAGTCTCTCATTTAACCAAATCTGTAAGTCGCATTTCCATAACTTTTCCAAGTGAGGCATCAAACAACAGCATCCAAGTTATGGCTTTATGCTTGGCAAAGAGGATAGAGATGTAAGGTTGAGATAGCAAATTCTTGTGTTCTCTATAGGATCTGAAGGAAGGCTTCACTGCAACATTATGAATTTTTATTTAGAATAAAGACAATTTAGGTCCTTGCAAGTCTAAAGTGTGCTTAAGACATTCCCGTAGAGTCTGTGCTAGTTGTGAGTTTGTTTTCCTTTGAAAAAAGAGCTGAGGAGACAGCTTGCTTTACCTTCCTGTTCTCCTCCCTGCCCCGCTGCCTCCCTTTCTTGCTTTCCCACAACCAAATGTCACACTTGCGGAGGGAACTTAGGCTAAAGTTAGTCATGATTTGGAGAATATTGTTCACATGTTTTTAGATCTTATTTCATTAAGTCCAAAAGATACTGGGGAATTCTATGTGCTGAACCATGGAGAATCTCTTGTCAGCTTATCAGGTAGAATTCCCATCCGGCCCTTTGGTTCAGTTATGACTGAAAAAGAAAATCTTGAAAAGGGCAATGCCTACTAGAAATCTTTAAAAAAACTAGCTTTACTGAAGGAGGTTCTGATCAATTAGACTTATTTAGCAGTGGGTATAAATGAAAATGTCTTGAGTCATGTTGTCATAGTTGGAGGGACAAACTTAGACATGAATCCTGATTTGGCTACTGTCTGTCTTTGGACAGATCACTTGGCTTTCAAAGTCTCATTTTCTTAAATGAGATGCAATATCAAGCTCTTTGATGAGAATTAGACAAAACAATAGATGTAAGTTTTCCAAATGAGCCTTGCACTTAATGCATGTTCATTGTACATTGCTTCTTTTTTTCTTCTTACTTATTTATACCTGTTGTTTTTGTTCTTAGTCTAGACCGAGTAAAGAATTTTTTAAAAAAAATTTTATTTATTTTTTATTTGGAATGCAGAGTTTTACAGAGAGATAAAGGCACAGAGAAAAAGAGAGCAAGAGAGAGAGGTCTTCCACCTGCTGGTTCATTCCTCAAAAGGCTGCAATGACTGGGGCTGTGCCAGGCTGAAGCCAGGAACCCAGAGCTTCTTTTGGATCTCCCACATAAGTCCATGGACCCAAACATTTGTGCTGTTTTCCACTTTTTTTCCCCAGCACATTAGCAGGGAGTTAGATCAGAAGTGGAGCTGCCAGGGCTTGAACTAGCACCCATAGTGGGATGTCTGCATTGCAGGTGGCAGCTTAACTTTTTGTTCCACAGCTCTGGCCTCTACATAAAGAGTTTTAAACCTATATAATTTTTAATTTTGTTTGTTTTCTACATTTTGTAAGATACGTATGGATACTATGTTTGATTACATTATTTTAAATGCTGCAGTTGTGTTTGACCATATAATTAGTCCCAGTGATAATGCATCTATTTGTATTTGTTATCAGTTAAATCTTTTTAGATTTAAAAAAAATTTCATTTACTTTTTACTATTATTATTTTTATTATTATTTTCCATGATATGGTTTTTAGTAGGTGTAGGGATTCTTTCCTCCACTTCCTCTTCCTTTCTTCCCATTTCTCCTCCCTCCTCACTGTTTCCTCCTCCATATTATTACAATAATATAGTCCATCAGTTAAGTCTTAATACCTATTTGTTCAAAAGATTCTTTAGAGAAATAATTAATCAGTTTGTATCTCAGCTTCCCTGTTGATATCTGTGGACAATATTGTGTGTCCTTCCATCTAATCACATAAAAGCTATTGGCTATTGTTGGGGATTTTATTGTGTTTTTCTGCCAGGTTTATAACTTCTGATTGAAGGGAGGTCTATTCGGAATCATGGTATTATGACAATTTTAGTGCTGGAAGAAAACTCAAGGTCTAATAAGTGCACTTTCACTTTCCTCTACTGAAGTTGGGACTCTGTTTTTGGCCACCTGAATGCAGTAAGAAAGAGAGCAGAGCCCAAAGTCCACAGCTCCTGATTCCTGGTAGCTTCTTCTCTTCACTCTGTGATGATTTGCCTTCAAGTTTTCATTTTATCTAGTTCCATGAAGTTAATGTGCAGCTCTCTCTTGAAAAGTACAGTCAGAGCCCATTGGAACAAGTTCTATTCATTTATGTGGCCAATATGCAGAGCTGATGTTTTCCAAGAGTTTTGCTATTACCTACCACTCTGGGTTAAAGTACATTGCTGCTTGTTTCTACCTTCCTAAACTACTGTTGTGATTCAGAATAAGGGTAAATGTCGGGGTAGTTTTTTTCATATATTCTTTAATGACCAAATTGGAACCTAAATTCTGGAAGTAGAGTCAAATCTAAGCTTGCCAAGGGTTGGTTTATTAGACTTTTAAAATTCCATCTCTGAAAACTAGAGGATACTTGTTAGGCAAGAATATCAACATGGATTTAAATATTCCCTAGGAATTTTCTCAGAATTAATCAGAAACTGAGGTTAGTGTTAACCCAATGGGTAAGACACCCTTGTGCCATATGGGAACACCATGGTTTAATACCTCGCTCTGGTGCCTGAATCCATCTTCCTGGAAATGCACTCTGTGAGGTAGCAATCATGGCTAAACTACCTGCTACCCACTTGACAAACTCAAATTGTGTTCCCAGCTCCCAGTTTGGGCTTTAACCAGCCAAAGTCATTATATGTATTTGGGAAGTAAACAAACAGTTATGAGCTCTCTTGTCTCTAAATAAGTTAGAAAAACACCAGAAACTTGGCTCCAGAACCTTCATAATGTGGGATATTTTGTGTATTAAAGAAAATTTGAGGCTCTCACACCATAGCAGGCCAACTACTGCTGTGTTTCAAAATTCCAATTAAAATTAATGAAATTAAAAAGTTCACAACCTGACTACTGCTTTGAACATTTCTAATTTGGGGAGTTTCTTTTGTTGCTTTGTTTGAATTCTTATTAGGAAGAAGTATTCATTCTCTTTCAAACTCATATTTGAAGGTAGTGTTCTGTCTTTGACAATGAATCACTTGTTTGGTAATTATGATTTTTTTTTCCCTTGTCATTTTTCTAGTTCAATGCTTCAGATTGTGGGAAAAAGAAGTTCTGTATCAGGAGTCCTTTCAACTGTGACCCAGAGAAGGAGCACGCGTGTATGTTCCTGTCGTTCACAAAGGAGGACCAGTCGGTGTTGGTTGAAATGAGCGGTCCCAGTAAAGGCTATTTATCCTTTGCGTTTTCTCATGACCGATGGATGGTTGGTATCTTTCATTTACGTAAGAGGCAATGAAAGAAAATCACGGGAATGGGCTCTAATCCACAGTGGATTAGCTGTTTACTCCAGAGTCAAATGACCATGCTCGGGTGTATTTGTAAAGGAGAAATTCACTTTGAACAGATTATAAGTTAAACAACTTTGAATGTTTCATCAGCTTAGTAGTAGGACAATTAAAAGTCAGGAAAATAATTTTACTTACAGTAGATTTGCCATATTATATATGTACATTTCTGTGATAAAACAGGAATCTCCGCTTAAACAAAAGTTGCTCTATGTAAAATGTTATTTGTACTGCCTCTCTAAGCACAATTGTTTATTTAAATGCCATATATTTCTCCTTTTGGTAGTCACTAGAACATTTTCCCAAACAGAATTAAACCCACCTGTCCAGGTAAAGTGAATTGATTATCAGCAGGCTCCTGCATCAACTCTGCAGGAGGCACTTAAGTTTGCTCTTGCTCTCTCTGCATGATGCTGAATAGACCCAATGGTTCTGTCGGTGGCTGCTTTGTGCCACAGTGTAGAAGGTTGTAGGCGTCCTGCTTCCTCAAGGAAAAGAGTGTTGTGGCTAGGATGTAAATGCACCTATTTAGGCAGGCTTGACAGTGGGAGCAGGGAAGACCATGCTTTGAGGTAGTCCCTTATTTCCATATTAGCAAATGCAAGAAGTCGTTTCTAGAGAGAATTTTTTTTTCCCTGTCAGCATTTAAACCTAATGCTCTTCTTTGAGGAATCATGTTCTGAAGAAAGAAAAGGAACTCTGAGATGCCTGTGATAGAACTAGGGTTTTCCTTGAAATTGTACTTGGATCATATTGGTCCTAGTGCACTGACTTTGAGTATCATGGGAAACAGGTATAACTTTTCTATGGGGAATGGCATGTGATTTGTATCTTTTGCCATAGCCCTGGAATACGCTTGCTGTTATCTTTCATTAAAAAAAAGATATGTCTTAAATCTATGACACACAAAATATATTATGAGCTTTAAAAAAAGCATATTATGGTATTGAAACAAGTTCAAGGAAAAAATGTCTATTATAAAAAAAACTACACATGGGTTTCAATGTTTTAAAAATATGCGTTTATTTGAAAGGCAGAATTATAGAGAGAAGCAGGCAGAGAAAGAGAGAGAAGTTTTCCACCTGCTAGTTAATTTTCCAAACGGCTGTAATGACTGGGGCTGGATTGGGCCAAAGCTAGGAGTCTGGAACTGCATGTAGGTCTCCCAAGGGCGTGCAGGAGCCAGAGACTTGGATTGTTCTCTGGTGCTTTCCAGGCACATTAGCCAGGAGCTGGCCTGGAAGTGGAGTAGATGGACTTGAATGAACGCTCTGCCACATGCCAGCTCCTCAAATTTTCTTTGCCAAGATAATTTTCTTTTGATTTATTATTTCATGAATCTTTAAAAAATTCTCTCATGTAAAGCATTTTGAATTGTTCCCTTTCAACAAGGCTTATATGGGAAATTTTACACTCTCTTTAAGGATGCTGCAATTGATTAAAATATTTTTCCATCCTTCCATTTTGTAATTGCCCTAAGCCATCTAGCATATTCTTTTCGGTCTTTTCAGCGCCAGCAAAAATGAACCATCTTTGGTGTATGAGGTGGATAATGCAGCTGGCTTAAAAATAAAATATGACTTGGACCCAGCACGATTGACTAGTGGCTAAATTTTTGCCTTATATGCACTGGATTCCCATATCAGTGCTGGTTTATTTCCCGACTACTCCGCTTCCCTTCCACCTCCCTGCCTGTGGCCTGGGAAAGCAGACAAGGCTGGCCCATGTGACCCTGAATCCATGTGGGAGACCTGGAAGAAAATGATGGCTCCTGGCTTCAGATCGGCTCAGCTCCAGCTGTTGTGGCCACTTGGGAAGTGAATCAGTAGATGGATGGAAGGTTTTCTCTCTGTCCCTCCTTCTCTCTGTACATCTTCCTTTCCATTAAAAATAAGTAAATCCAAAAAAAAAAAGGGACTTAAACTAAACAAAGGATAACTTTAATGCTTGGTGTGTGATCTGATAAATGGGCCACAAAAGACGTTTGGAATGTATTTCTAAACAGAATTGACAATGATGGCTTTGTTGAGTAAATTAAAGGGTTCAGCAGTTTCATCTCTTATTTATTGCATACTACAGTCAACAAAAATTACATTCTAGTCATTTTTATCTTTAAGTTCACGCTGTAGTATACCATCACATTTTCTTTTGCTGTCCATACAAAGTCTGAATTAGGGGAAGGACAATATCACTGGTCTAAGTATCGTGATGAGTGGTCTACAGGCAGGCCAATTATATTTGTTCTAAATTGTAGCTATAGGTGGCATAAAAGCATTTATCTCTAATTCAAGATGTATTTATCCCACTTAGAAAACTTATTTGTTTCTAGGATAGTATTCATCAAAAATGTTTATAAAAAGACTTAATTATGCAGGTGCAGTTGATTTACAGCGCAATCCTGTTAGTGATTAAAGTCATCTGTACACCTGTTTGCTTAAATTGTTGGAGAATGAGTAATTCTCTTAAAATCTATTTTTAAGTGGTATTTCTATTTTTGGTCGTTATTTTTAAGCTTGGGGGCACTTTTATGCTGTTTTATTTATTTGGAGTATATAACAAATTTAAATACCAAAGAGATCTAATGTTCTGACTACTGATTAGGTAACCTACCATGGCCTTTATCCATTTAACTTATAAATCAATTACATGATTTATTTTGGTATTAGATTTCATCACTAACATTTATTAGAAGTATACTTTTCATATTTTTGTAACATTGGCTTGTTAATATCATAATTCTAACCGAATTTCCAAGTACTCATGCCTTCCGTAAGTAATATATATTTTATTTAGCCAGTCTAAGAGAACTTTAAGGAATTATTGGCATAATGGAATTAAAGCATAACAATTAAAAATGCAAACCTTATTTATTTGTCAACGCAAATTTCATCCAATTTAAGACAGTTCTGTTAGTAATGACATTAGCCATTTAATCCATCCCTAGAGAACTGAAGGTCCTGGGAGTATGTCAATGCAGTCTTTTTGGCATTATCAGATGAAGAAAGCCTGGCATTCTTTAAAGAATTTTTTTAAGGCTAGGAAAGAAAAAGATGTCTGAAGGAGCCAAATCAAGACTGTGAGGTGAATTCCTAGAAGATTTCTCATCAGATATCTCTGGAAAAGTTGCCTTAGTTGGATGAGAACCAGCAGGAGCATTATCCTGGTGGAGAATGACTTTCCGGTGCAGCTTTCCTGAGCAGCTTTCCTGCTAAAGCCTTGGCTTTCCCCAAACATTCTCCTAATAGCCACACATAACTGTTTTCTCCTCTTCTGAAAGTCAACAAGCAAAAGGCTTTGAGCATTTCTCAAACTGTTGGCATTAGCTTTGCTCTTTGGTAGACTTCTGCTTTGACTGGACCCCCTGTGAAATCTGCATACAAGAAAGTGACCTGTAATCCTATATCTACAGCAGTACAATCTATAATAGCGAAGACATGGAAATAACCTAGATGTCTTTTGAAAAAGCAATGGATAGAAACTGAGAAATTGCTTTTCTCTATAATATTATAATTGTGTAGTCCTTCAAAAACAGTCATAAGTCCATCACTCCACTATTTAAGTATATCCTGACATTGTTTGATTCCTTCTAACACTACCTCACTGAAAATAATGTCAGATACCATGGGTTGAGGGATTAGCCACCAACAGATGCCCTCCAACTGCAAAATTTGTCATCCTAAGTCCCAGGTGGTTTTCCTTCTGCTTGTGAGTCTCAACTGGGATTCCCACATCCTTGCCTCTGGTTCCAGTAATTTGTTGTAATGGCTCATGTACTCAGGGAAGCCCATTTACTTTCATGGTGAAGGAGATGATTAAGGAAGTAGATGAAGAGATGTGCAGGGTAAGTTATGGGAGAGGAGTTCCCACACTGTGTAGGCACTGTCCTCCAGGAACCCTCATATATTCAGCTACCAGGATGCTTTCCAAACCATGTTTTGGTTCATTTGGAGGTTTTTTTAAATAGGCACAATTGATTCATTTACTGGCCTTTGCTGGTAAGCTTCAGACCCTCTCTGTTTTCTGAAGATTGTGGGATAAACTTCCTGGTCCTTGAATCCTGAGGGTAGTTAGTATTGACCAGTGATCAGTTGCTTTATAAGCAAACAAAAAGATGAATCACTATGAAGAAGCCAAGATTTTAAGAGTTGTATACCAGGAAATGGGGATGAAGACCAAGCTTACATTTTACAATGTTGGGCCTGCACTCTATAAATTTGCTCCATTCATAATCTCTCCATGACCAAATTCTAAGATATTCAATATTGATCTCTTGTGGAATCCAGTGTGATTTCTATCTGTTCCTTGTCTCATCTGGATGGGTGTTCCTAGATGACAAAAATCAACATCTGTAAACTGAACTTATGACAACTTCTAATGTCTCTTTGTATTTTTTGGTCTTGTTAATCAACAATAATATTTAAAACAGCAGTATGGTTAATTGCTTGATTCTTGTCCGGTACTGTCCTAGCCAGCTTGTGCAACATTTGTTCTTGCTTTCACCATTTTCCCTGGTAACTCAGAGACATTTTTATTGTGACTTGGATTCTTCCCTATCACTTATCATTTAGGTTCTTTTAACTCCTGCTTCAATTTCTTAAAGGTTTCATATACATAAAAAATGAAAAGAGCAGTGCAATGAGCACCATCAGTCTTTTACCTTGATTTGGCATTTTTTCCTCTGTGTATCTATTTCTATCTCAATTGATTTATTAAAGATAAGCATTTTCCCCTGAACTATTTGGAAATAAGTTTTGTTGTAGATATTATGACATTTTCATCCCTCAAGTTTTCAGAACATATCTTCTAAGAATCCTGACATTCTCCTGTAATTATATGGTATCTTTGTCAGATTGAGATAAAGTAACAGATGTAATAATTTTATCTAATATCCAGGCTGAACTCTGATTGCCCCAATTGT